TCAGGGTAGCAGCCCCTGGATCCCCAGGCTCCAAGCACACTTCATCCTCAGCCTGCTGCCTCCTTATCCTCTGCCAACCCCAATCCTCCTGTCAATCACATCCTGGCAGGATCCCCCGATTTGCTGGCTAGGCCTGGGTAGGACTGAGTCCCAACCTGGTCCCGTGGAGAAGGACAAGCCCTCCTCCAGACTGTGCTGTTTGCTTTGAGGCTTTCCTGGGATAATGACAGAGATTCTCAGCTTAACCAAACTTTAGTCAGGCTCCTGACCTTCTCTTAGCTCCATCTGAGCACTTCCTTATAAAATCCAGTTTTGCAAGAACCCTGCTAAGTCAGTTTAACCAGACACCCTGTTCTTGATATCTGACCACCCTCTATATCTGGTCAGGTTCCTCTTCCCCCATCATTTTCCAGGTGATGTCTGAGCACCCTGGCCTGCCTTCAGTAAGAATCCTGTTATTCAGTTTAGCCACCCCGCCTCCCCCACTATCCCTGATATTTCCTCTTAGTAATTTTTCATCCACTGACCCCATCCTACTCCTTGGCTGTAAATCCCTACTTGCCCATATTGTACGCAAAATTGAGCCCAGTTCTACAGTGAGGTCTGTTTCCCCCTATTGCAATAGTCTTGAATAAAATATGTTTTTAGGGCTTCAACTACTCTTCAACTCTGGCTTTTATTTGCCAATAATTCCACCCCCGTTCTCCCTTCTCTCACCACACACCCTGGCCCTTGCAAAAGGACTACAGCCTACAACCAGGCACTCAGAAGAACAAAACAACATAACATCAAGAACAGCAAAACACAGTGGTGTGCACAACACATTCTGTTTCTGACTTTTCCTAATTGCTTCCTTCTGTTAAATACAGTAGCCTGACAACAACAATTGCTACAGGGTGTTTGCTGTTTACAAAGCACTTGTTCAGTGAGTAGCTCATGTTCAAAGAGAAAGAGATGACTTAGAAATCCCAAGATCATGAGCAACTTGTTTACCTTGTCTGAGCCTGTTTCTTCATTTGTAAAATGGGAGAATTATAACTCCAACGTGGTTCTTGACGGTTTACTGAAATAATGTGTGGAAAGCAGAAAGTGCTACACAAACGTTACTGGTTACAAGAGCCAAATCACTGCAACTTGAGATCCAAATCAGATCACTACTGAATCAACAGCTTCTCATTGGAACAATTTTTTGAAAATTATATTTCCTCCTTTTAAAATATCATTTTTTAAAAATATTTTTTATTGATTTCAAAGAGGAAGAGAGATAAAAACATCAATGATGAGAGAGAATCATTGATCAGCTGCCTCCTACACGCCCATGCTCAACCACTGAGCCACGCTAGCCGGGCTGATGGAAAAACTCTGATTCTTAGATTTCTTCACTGAGGAGGTCACAGGATTATGAGAGGAAGAGCAGAAGAAAGTGGCTGGACTTGGGCACAGCTGTGACCGTGGCGCCTTCCTTCTGCAAGGAGTCCAAGCTGCCGCAACACTGAGGTGGTGCTGGACCTCGCTCCATTAAGGGCTGGAGAGCTGGGGGTGTATTTGTGGCACATCCCCGGCGGCAGAACTGCTGGCAGCCCCAGAGCTGAGGGAGGGCTGTGAAGCCCGTCCCACCCCACAGCCACCTGGAAAAAGGAAGCAGAAAAAGGAGAAACAGCAACTTACCTCACAGCTCGATCTTGGGACATTACCGACGAGCAGCTGCGGGAGAGAAGACGCTGCCAGAGGAGCTGCGACCTCCGGCTCACTGCACCGAGGTAACCGCAATTTTCATTCTTCTCCCTGGCGTGAGGAATGAACAGGCTGTCTTATTTTCCTCCTCCAGGGGCAGCTGAAATATATTCCTCGGGTGAGATGTCCCTTCACTGTCCCAGCCAAGGGTTCCCCTGACTGAACTAGGATCAGGTCTTAGTCTTAAAATGTGTGATTTTTGAAAAAGGGGAGTTGTGAAAAACGGGAGAGGTGATTTACTTTGGTAAGACAGTGGAGGGAACCACTCTGCCCTGACTGATAAGTTTGTTCCCAGCCAACAGTATTTATAAATAGCCCCTGTGTCCAGGACACGGTGCTGGCCTGCGGGGTGTTCCAAAGGCAGCGAAGTGGCCAGGAGCCGCTGTCCCCTTCGCTCTGCACTGAGCCCAAGGCCGCTTCCCTTTCGGGGCTTAGGCTTACCAGGAGGAAAACAGAGGCTAGCAGCACAGACTACCAAGACTTGCAGACACCTTCTAGTCGTTTCTATTGAACTGGGCTTGTCTAACTAGGACTTTGTTTTGCCCCCCAGGGAATGAGAGCCCACATTCCTTGTCTCCAGAGTCCTGAGCTCTTCTCTGAAGGAGGCTGCCCAGCTAGGGGCCAGCTGAGGGTGACTCACACCCTCACTTCCTGGCCTTCAGAGCCCAGGCCTGTGTTTGAAACTGTCAAGACACTTCCTATTTTTGAAACAGAACCTCCTCTTCCATGTGCCTGCATGGATCTGTGTGTTCCTTCAGAAAAGAATGGCTGATGTGTGCACCTGGCCTTTCTCCCCCAGGATCTGCCAGGGGCCACCATGGGCTCTGTGAACTCCCGAGGTCACAAGGCGGAAGCCCAGGTGGTGATGATGGGCCTGGACTCAGCAGGCAAGACCACGCTCCTATACAAACTGAAGGGCTACCAGTTGGTGGAGACCCTGCCCACCATTGGCTTCAATGTGGAGCCTCTTGACGCCCCGGGGCATGTGTCTCTGACTCTCTGGGATGTCGGGGGGCAGGCCCAGCTCAGGGCCAGCTGGAAAAACTACCTGGAAGGCGCGGACGTCCTTGTGTATGTGCTGGATAGCACAGACAAAGCCCGCTTGCCCGAGGCAGGGGCTGAGCTCGCGGAAGTCTTGGACCACCCCAGCATGGCCAGCGTCCCTTTCTTGGTGCTGGCCAACAAGCAGGAGATGCCTGGTGCTCTGCCTCTGCTGGAGATCAGAGACAAGCTGGGCTTGGAGAGGTTCCAGGGCCGCTGCTGGGAGCTCCGGGCCTGCAGTGCCCTCACCGGAGAGGGGCTGCCCCAGGCGCTGCAGAGCCTAGGGAGCCTCCTGAAATCCCACAGCCGCTGTGTGTCCTGGTGAGCACCACGGGGCAGTGAGTGCAGAGAGCAAGAAGTCTTGACTCAGAGCAGCTTATCTTTGCTCATGGGAATTGGGAGAACCAGCTTATTCCTGAGAATTATAAGCTCAGTTTATCAAATAAGAAATCCTTCTATGCTTGGACAGGATTTTTTTTTTCCCCTTGGGACTTGGTGTCACTGTTGAAAATCAACTGTTTTTGAATCATGATACTCTAAAGAAAAAAAATAATACCTTAATGCACTTCATTTAAGAACTCATTGCCACCCTGGGCAGTGTGGCTCAGTTGGCTGAACATTGTCCCATACACCAAAAGGTTGCCAGTTCGACTCATGGTCGGGGCACATGCTAGGTTGCGGGTTCAGTTCCCAGCCAGAGTCTGTGTTGGAGGCAAGTGATGGAGCTCTCTCTTTCTCTCCCTCTCCCTTACTCTCTAAAAAAAATTAATAAATCATATTTTTGAAAAACTCATTACCAAGTATGAACTGAGCAATTGTAGTAACAGAGCAACAAGTAATAATTGTAATAATAGAGGATAATAATTAAGACCTAAATTCATGGGGGGAAAAAGGAGTTTCAAAATCAAATCATAATATCATCTAGACATGATCAAGATCTTATGAGTGATTTCCCTGGTGTCGCCGGGTATGTGCCATGATCACTCTGATCAGCCAACGTGAGCAGAATCGAGCAGGGAGTCAAATCTTGGGTTTAGAAGGGCATGGTGCTCGGCCCTGGGCAAGGGAGTTCCAGCCTTCCCAACGTGATCCTCTTCTCTGACCCTGACTCACTGTTCTCTGCCCTTTTGTCACCCTGTGCTGGTCTTTTTCTAAACCCTTCATGTTTTTCCTTCATTTTTTTTCTCCTTGTGGCAGATATCTTTCCTTAAAAATAAGATTGATCAATGATTTCATTTATTTATTAATTTAATAAAAAATATGTAGAGCCTTGAATTTGTGGCAAAAAAAGCACTGAGCTTTTAGCTATGAACCAAGCCCTTTAGGTGGGAGGTGTGTATTTTAAAGATCAGTATGACAGCAATGAACCTCTCTCATTATTACTAGCAAATACTTCCTATAA